CGTTAAGATAACGGGTGTGACACGACACGACCCGTTAAGATAACAGGTGTTACACGAAAACGACACGAACACGATAGACACGACCCGTTTGCCAGGCCTAGGGTGTGGTGCGCTCTTCACGAGAAAGAAAAAACAATTGGCGGATGGGGTGCAGTTTGGGCTTCAGGGGAAAGAAAAATAATTTAGGAATGAGGATTCGGCGAAAAAATCTGATAAACCATACAAATTCTTTTTAAAGCTTTTTCATAGTCTTCTAAAAAAAAATTATCAAAAATAAAAAAACTGTATACTTGGAATATGGGCAATTTAGTAATTATATTAGTTTTCATTCTGATTCATGTAATTAAGTAAACAACTTATATAAATAAATATGATTCCTACTCCGATTTCAAGAAATTTTAGTAAACAGTTTTAACGGGAATTTGATTTTGATTCCACCCCATTTCAATTCCCCCTCAATTCAATTCCTCTCATTTTGATTACGGATTAGTAAACGAGCCCTATGTTTTTATGCTAGAAGTATTATGAGAAATGTCGGTGTTAATAAAAGGAAAAGTCTAACACATAGGTTATATGCAGTCATGAAATAAACACAAAAGTTTTTACGTTATTGTATAGTTGGGTTTTTTTTGGTCATGTCTCGAAAGCGAAGCATGATAGAATAGGTACTTTCAAACATCACATGTTGATTCTGGACGTAACTCGAAATTGGGACGTAATACTATATGCTCACTAGAATAGGAATAGAAACAAATAGGATTACCAAAATCCATTAATCTTATGCATTAATTTATATGCCAGTTAACAATTTAACAATAATGTTAGAAATTTAGAAATCATGTTAGAGCATTGCATTCTTGATTCCGTCTTTCTCGAGGAATTAAAAATCCACCTCTCCCAAAGAATTCAAGTCCTCCAAAATGAGGAGCTGAATTCCTTTTTAATTTTTTTTAGCCTCACTTTTGTTTCGATTCGTACATGGTAAGTAAACATAAGAACACTGATCGAAATCTAACTCCAATTTTGATTTTGATTACAAATATTTAAATACGCCACAAGAGTAATGGGATCATATACTCGAATGGTGGACATTTACATTGCGATGCACATTTGGATAAAACTTAGTATTCATAGTGTACACGATTCACTCCAATTAAATTTTGGGAACTTTAACGAAAAACTTCCGGTACTGTTCACTTTAATGAAAAACCATATTTTTACATTAAAAAGTCAATTTTGGTACTATTTACTTTATCCTTTATTTTGTTCTTATCGTTAAAATTCAAAATTTTCAAGCCATTTTTATTAGTTTTCCTTTAAATTTTATGTGAACGATTGTGCTTAACATTTCCAATCAACATACAAACATAAATTAACATTAACTTTTTTGCCAGCAGTTAAGTAATAAAAATCTCCTCCCGCAGTGTAATCGATGCAAGTTTGCCAAATGAGAGGTTGGAGAGCCACTTTCACTGCCAGATGATGCTCAATAATTCTCCACAATTAGAGCGACGTAGGGTGTATGGTGGGTTCATTCCTACAAATTCCAGAGCTAGGAACGCATGCATGCAATTAATCCTCCGGAGTCACTCAAACAAGAGCAACGCATGCATGCAATTAATCAAAATTCTAGGGTTTGGAAAAATAAAGATTCTTCATCTTAACCAGGACCAACTGGTTTTTTTGGTATTATACACATGGGTTTTGAGAGTAGTTAGTACTTTACAACTAACATATTTGATGTGATTAATTGATCAAATTTGTCAATCAAATGATATAATATATATGCATGTAGAATTATGAGAATAGTGTAACTGTATTAATGTCACAAGGTACATATATATATATATATAAGTTTATGATTTGACGCGCAAGTAATTCACAGTCCCACGTGGATTACAAAATCTAGTCCTATAGAATTCTAATTGGATTCTTCTACGCTAACATTCCTCTGCAAACTTGTCAGCCTTGAAAAATCGAGTTTTGGATCGAAGTAGTAGAAAGCAAGGCTTCAGAAGGCCCTTGATGAGAATATTCGCCGGTTGAACAACCATGTTATTGGATCGTATATTGGGCTATGTAGGTTTTAGAGGCTTCCTATTCAACAATTAAGTGGAAGCAGCTCACCTAAGAGCCTTCCCACTCCATGCAATTACCCTATCAATTGGGTAATTTCAATCCCCCAAAACCAACACAATCATCTCCAGCCCACAACACATCAGCTGCGGCCGTTGGATCACGACCCCTTGTACGGACCCGTCGCCGGCGATCGCAAAGTTGCCGACGGAAGAAAACTCGTTTTTCGTCGGGGGAGGAGGAGGAGGAGGAAGAACGAATTCGCAGGTGGTTGGTGACGCGGCTCTGCCTAAGTCGAAGGCTATGAACTTGCTACATGTCGTGGTGGAAGGGCGTGGTGCACTCTGTTTGTGGGATTGCTAACGTACAGTTTCAATCAAGTATTTGAATAAGCAAACCTGTACAAACTGGTACATAATGAACGGGTTTAGAGGAAGGAAGAAGTTTCGAGAGAGTGGGAGGTTGAGAGAGAGAGAGGTAGAGGTTTAGATTTTTTTTTTTTTTTTCAATAAAAGAATATCTAATCTAACAAATTAATTTTTTTAAAATATTATTTTAATACTGATTGTTCGGGCAATTTATTTTACAAGATGAAGATGTACTCAAGCAATTACTATTCACTAAGACAAGAATTACCTTTGCCCAATTGACAATTAATGGAACAATTATAAATTTAGTGCGGTGAACTTTATCTAAGGTCCTCATTTAGAGGACCTGTGAGTTCCTCTTTCTAATGAACCCTTATATTTATCTAAGGGTAGATTGATCTAAGGCTTACATTATCCTTGTTATACCTAAACAAAATATATATAGCAAATGAAATAAACTAACCAAAAATTAAAAAAAAGAATCAATTCTACCAGGAATGCAAATCGTCTCATCTTCTTCCCATGCCCTCTCTCCCCTGCATCCCTTCCTCTCTCTTTGTGAGATTTTATTTTTCTTTTTGCATATGAAAAAGGGGATAGGACATGATTCGGATTTCTCGTAGTCCTCTGAAAATTTGAATTCTCCTTCAAGATTTGTAATCAAATTGTGCCCCAATGGCTTTGTAATCATAAGAAGGAGAGAATGATGCACATCAACACAATCATCCGTTTGCCTATTTCAATTAGATCAAAGAGGCACAACAAACGTGGTGGTGGTCACTCTTTGATGTGAACTCAGCTATGTTAATACTTATCGGAAAAACATCAGGTGCAATTGCATGGCAAAATATGATTGTCTCCAATAAATTTAGGGTTATCGATAACGCTTGCAAGGCCGCTCGTTTGGACTCGTCGGCAATGGCTAATCATCCAGTTTGGTTTAGAACCCAAATAATTATCTTTTTGTTTCCTCCTAATGTGATTAAGGGCTGGTTTGATATTGTTGTTCTTTGAAAAAAAACTGATTCTGCTGTGCTGTGAGAATAAACAGTTGTAAAATAAAGCAGCAGAGTGTTTGGTAAACTTTTTTGTAAAAGTGCTTTTGAAAAAAAAAAAGGTAGTATTATAGTGTTTGATAAACTTTTATGTAAAACAGATATGAAAAAAGCCGGTTTTTCAAAGCTGGGTTTTGTAACTTTGTGTTTTTGACTTTTTTTCACCCAAAACTGTGAAAAAAAGCTGAAGCTGAATGTTTACCAAATATAAAAAAGCTCCCAACTTTTTTTGATAGTTATTTTTTTTTTAGAATCACTTTAGTACCAAACTAGAGCTAAGGTATGTGATTTGGGCTCAAATCCCAATATTGATCTTGGAAGCCTAGTGGGTTGCTATCCTCCTAGAACCAGTACACATCACTACACCAAAGATACTGGACATATACGCAAGACAAGGAGCCAATATCCACATATAAAACAAGGAACACAACTTTGCACATGAGCAAAGAACTTGCGGATGCATTGTTCTTTAGCCTTGGAAACACCACCCCTAGAAAAGTTTCAACTTCTCCATACACATGAAAATTAAAGCAACTTGCACGGCATAAGTATACTGCTATCATGATATTGAAATACAATATCATGTAAAAATAAAATTATACGTGACGTTGTAAAATTCATAAGAGACGTCTTAATTATGGTATACTAGTATCACGTAACTCATTCTCCATAGAAATATGAAAATCACTATCTTCCTTGAGTCTTTTCTGTTTGGAAAATTTTATTCAGACTCAACATTTCTCTTTCTAAACCCAACTTATAATTTTTATTTTGAAATCCCTTTTTACCCCGTATACTAAATGCGTTTAGAAAAAAAGAAAAAGCAAAATAACAATCCAATAATGAAAATACTGCTGATTACCCCATCCCAGCCCTCCATGAAAACAACCCCTCTCTCGAACCTCCGACCGCCAAACCCCTTTATATTCCTATTGAACGGTTTAAACTCATTAAGTTTCAACCTCATATTCGTTTATCACAAAATAGTTGAATTTTTGTGAAAAATGAAGAATGAAAGAACTAGAGTTCTACACACATACTCATTGAACTAGTTTTTAGTGGTTGAGATTAAACAAATTGGCTTAATTATATGATATCTTATACTTTTATATTACGGTGGATAGTTTTTAGTGGTTGAGATTAAACAAATTGGCTTAATTATATGATATCTTATACTTTGTACTGCCACAATTTGCACCAAGTAGGAATACGTAGTGGATAGTGGTGGGGAGAGCTGGGAAAAATAGTTTCTTTTTTTCCCTAATTTTTTTTTTCATTGGAAACAAAGGAAAAGAAAAATCAAAGAAAGGCATCTGATCTGAGTCGTTGTTACATGGACTCTCAAAGGGTAGGCGGGACCCACCAGTGCCTTCTTAAAAGTATAAACGATAAAACTACCCACTCCCATCATTTTGTATTCTCTTCGTCCTCCCCCTTCCACCCTGGCAATAATCGTCCGTACCCTGTCCCCCTCCCTTCCTCTCGTTTACCGGCTACCCGCCCAGCTGGTTCCCACACGTGTGCAGCCCCTCCTCCCCCTCCACCTCCTCCCATTTGACCGTCCCACACGTGCCACCCCTCTCCCTCCTCTTCTCTTTGGTGCAACAAATAAAAGTTTGATACTTTCTCTCTCCTGGTGTAGTTTTTGACATGGGTTTTGGGTTTTCTTGCACCTCTCTCTCTCTCTCTCTAACTTTCTCCATCTAGAACTACATCTTTTCTTTGTGCGTTTGTGTGATTGAAAGCATCAGAATCTGGCCTGAGAAAACCCAAGTAATAATATCTTCTTATCCGAAAAAAATACCGATGAGGATCCGGAAACGACAGGTGCCCTTCCCTCTGTCGTCTCTCTCTCCGGTGCCTTTATCAGATCCCCTCCTCCACGACCTCAACTACTCACCACCACCCGTGGTGCAACTCCACCCCCACCACCGCCATGATCCTCCAAATCCCTCCCACCCAGTTGAGAAAACTGTCCATGTGGGCCACCCCCCTCCGCAGCCCTCCGATCAGCGAGTCTTTCCGATCGGACGAGCAGGCAAGGGTTCTGATGTTTCTGGGGAGAATAAGAACAAAGAGAACAAGCAAGATTGTGGTTTGGTTAGTGAAATTTAATGCTCACAAATTTACAACCCTTTTGTAGTTTTTTTTTACTTAATTTTGTTACACATGGTGATGTTGGTGCACTTTTATGTGTGTTGATTAATTTCATGGTTCTTTCATTTGCACCCACCATTGGGGTTTCAATACAAGGCCATATATATATGTGTGTATATATAATATCTGGTGTAATTTTTGAAGGAGATATCGATATTGAAAGGGGAAGAAGATGAGAGAGAATCCAGAAAGGGAGGAGATCAGAAGGGAAATGATGATGATGATATCAGGTAATTAAGATAGATGAGAAAATAAATTAATAATTAAGTAAAGTAAATTCTTCAATATTTCATGTGAAAGGAGACTTGATTTACTTACACAGCTCATTAAAAGGAAAAATAAAAAAGGATGAAAAAGAAAGGAAAATATTTATAGTGTAAGTGGAAATACTGTTTTTATATCAGCTTTGGCTAGCCACCATACCTTCCCATCTAATCTAATCCTTTAGCTAGCTGCTCCTTTTTATTTATTTTGTTTTATTTTTATTTTATTTCCTTCCTCCTTATATTTGGCTTAACAAATGTACCCATGCGGTGCACGTTAGCATGGGTTAATATAATATGGTCCCCAATACTATAAACTCAAACTACATATATGTTGCACTTCTTATTTTCTGGGTTATTTGGGTTATTTTTTCTTTTTTCACCTGGACTAAAATTTGACCTACGTATTGATCTGTGTGGTTGTTGATCCATCGATCTTCTGGGTGTGGTTGTTTTTTAAGGGAGGAAAGCATATTGGTTGCTGAAACGTTAATGGGGTTTGCTTCGGGATCATCTAGTTCTTCTCACCCAGGTGAAATATTCATACTATATGCATATATAAATATACACACACAAATTATTCATGAAAATTGTCTTTACCATTGCTTGCTTGCATTGTATTAATTATTGGTATGGTCATGTTGTGACTGTTGTTGGTTTGCACTCATATATGTATATGTATAGCTGCTGGGAGTTGGTTTAAAGGAGAGAAAGCGTTTCCATTGAAGAAGCGAAGAGGAAGCTTCGAGAGAGGAGCCAATAATATCGGACAGACGATAATGGATGATCAGAAAGACAAAAAATCAATGAAAACGAAGACGAACAAGAAAAGGGAACCTCGACAGCAGCAAAATGACGATGTTCAACAGAAGCAAGACGATCATGTGATTGATGGCAATAGAGTCACTACTAGTGCTAGTGCAACAAGAAAGAGGGCAAGGGGAGGTGCACTCATGGAGGGGTCGCGGTGCAGTAGAGTTAACGGAAGAGGATGGAGGTGTTGCCAACAAACGCTTGTTGGGTACTCTCTTTGTGAGCATCACTTGGGGAAGGGTAGGTTAAGGAGCATGAATAGTGTCCGAAGCCGGTCGACGGCTGCGGCAACTGCTACTACCACTACTAGTAGTACTAGAATTGCTTCTACTGAGACTGAATTCAAGCAACTATCAGCGTCTAGAATATTATCCGTGGAGTCATCACCGCCGCAGAAAGAAGACACGAAAGCTGTTTTGCTGCTGGACGATGGTGATATTGGTGAAGGTAAAGGAAATGAAGGTGAAGATGAAGAGATCAAGAAGCCGTTGCTGGTTACAAAGAAGCGGATGAAGCTTGGGATCGTTAAAGCCCGATCCATGAGTAGCTTGCTAGGCCAAACGAATAGTCGTGCAATGGCTGATGAGGATGATGATAATAACAAGTAGGTCAAAAGCATATGTAGGCAAATCAATGGGGGATTTTATTCGGTGTAACTTGGGAGAGAGAGAGTAGTTGAGGTTAATTTAGAAGTGTGAGCTTGGTGCAACTAGTTTCAACTTGCAATATGTGTGAGATTCTTATATATAAACAGATGCTGGATAAAGTGTTGGATTTATCATTATCGTCCTCATCTTTTTTTATCTTTTTGTTTTAGTGCTTTTGTTTCGTGAGTGATGGGTTTTTATATTAAACTAGTAGATGCGATCGGGTCTATTTAATTTTGAACATTGGCAGAAATTCTATACTTAAACTAGAAATTTATATAGAAATTGGGAACTACCTCAGGAGAGGAGAGGCCTAAATTCAGTTGTTACTGTGCATCTTTTGACCAAAGTGAAGCGTTGTATTTGTTGGTTTTATCAGTTGTGATGGATAATTAATCAGACGGTATATAACACAACAACTTTTTAAGCAATAATTCTACGTGGTATTGAATGTAGGTCTAGCTTTATTAGAGCAACTCCAGCGTTGGAACCCTCCCCTCAGGCAATGCACTATTCAATTCACCTAATGAACAGTAACTGCCCTTAATGAACGGTAACTGCCCTTAATGAACAGTAAATAGCCCTGGCAATAGCATTTGCATCTCCACCGTTACACTTCAATAGCCCTGACAATAGACAATAAAATATTAGTATTTTTTTTATTTATAAAATAATACAAAATAATTTTAATTGTAATATCGGATAAGATTTTTAATCGTTCTCGTTGCACCACGTGTCATTATCCGAAGTATTATTAAATAATACAAAATAATTTTATTTGTAATTTCGGATAAGATTTTTAATCGTTGTCGTTACGCCACTTGTCATAAAATCTGAAAAGACAATTATTGGGGATGGATTTCCGATAAATTTTTTAATCGTACTCGTTGAGAAAATATGAAATTGTTGTGTAAGGTAGATGATAATGAGAAGACATTTATAGAAAAGTAAAAACAATTTTTTTTACAATTTTTTTCAGATTTTTTCAGATTTTTTCAGATTTTTTTTTGAATTTTTTTTAAAATTTTTATTCAATTAATTAATCTCTGCCGTTGGATATAAAAAAATTTGAATTCCAACACTCCAGATTGTGCCACGTGTCACAACTTTTCTTAATTTTAAAACTATTTTTTCTTTTATTTTTTTATTTATAAAGAATATTAATATCCACCGTTGATCTCAGATCGAACGGTGGATATTAAATCTGACTTTTTAATTTTTTTTGACCGTTGAGATCGAACGGTCCAAATTAAGTAACCGTTGAGATTTAACGGACCGTGGGAAGCCACATGGCTTCCCAACGGTAACTGACAAACTTTTTTTTTTTTTCTGATTTTGTGTCGGCAACGCGCCCCCACGTGCGAGTGGGGTGCACGCGCCTGACACAAGAAAAATTAAATATTGCGCTGACGCCAGCCTGGCGTCAGCGATGACGTCACATAGCCTCGGGCTGGCAATTCCCCATAGGCCCGGAGCTCGGGCCTCCACCTTCACTCGGGCTAGCCCATGCTGGAGCTCATCCACCAGGCCTCGGGCCCTTGTTCCTTCCCCTGTCCCCCGAGCAATACCCAACGCTGGGCTTGCTCTTAGAAAGTGTGTCAGCAAGTATATTAATTTCGTACGTTTGAATACAATACTCTCTTTTAATTAACTAGAGATTTCAAAATCAAATCTCATTCCTTAAGTAATTAATAACATAATTTCTGCAAATAATGAGTACTACATACAACGCTTATTTCACAAGTTAACATGAATGACTACATATGAAGAATTCATTATAAGAGCAGGAAGTTGCATACACATGTTTGTTTATATCTCGAATGAATTCAAGAACATATTCAAAGTGTCAGTAAGAATGATTTTGTGGATTACGAACAGTTGGGTCAAGCGTTAAGCTTTGATTAGGTAATGCAAAACTAAAAGAAACAATTACCATGTAGTTTAGTTAGTATATATATTTAACAAGAAACCCTAACTTCAAGGCACCGAATCCTAGCCTGTTGAGTCCTTAATTTGTGCTAAATTTTCTTGTAATTGATCGTGTATTAATTGTGTCCAAGTTGTGATGAAATACTGAATCCAGATCTACTTAATTAAACCCCCACAAATATTTCAAGACATAAAGATCACACATCAGTTTGTGCATTGATTTTGTTTTTTCCTTCTTTGTTGCCTGGTAGTATTTTCACAAGCTGGTTAGGGTATTCTTACACTTGTTCCTAGCATGCAAGAAACAATTATTGCTCACCAAGAAAGAACAAAAAAAACAATTGTCGAAGACGTTGCTTCTGACATTGATCATCGCCCTTAGATTCATAAGGTTGACTAATATAATCATTATTAAGTATTATAATTAAACTTAGTTAACGTTAACAGAAAGATTGCCTCCCATCACATTTTAGGTTGGGATTAGTACTAGGAAAGGGTTAGGATCATTTCATCCAATTTAAGCAAACTTTTCATAATTTTTGACGCTTTGTGGTAATTAAGTTGGAATAACTTGCATTTTCCCTTGGAGATGAGCTCATTTCTTCACTTGCTAAGGCTTTATGCTAATTAATTGTACGTATTTGTGCAAGGTTTCTTTTCTTGGTCAATACTTGGAGTAAGCCTTCAATAGTTCGGACTACTGGGTAACCCGGCTTTATATCCATTTGATTGATAATTAAGTAAAAACAATATTTACTCAATCTAATCTTCACCATTCATTTTTGTATTCCTGTGTAGTCCGAATTTTTTGACGAAAAATTACAATATTTGTGCAGAGTTGTGAAGTTTGAGTAGTCAGGTCGAGCATATGTTTCACTAGCTCCTTAGATAACCAATCAACATCAATACAGAAAAGGGGTCCCCAAAGTGTTGTAGAAAAGTTTGGTAGCACACATTATGTACGAGTGAAAGCCCTATGATTCCGTGGTGGTGCTGTTTTAAAATACTTTTGTGGACACACACACATATATATAATTATTTCTTTTGTACACAATTTTATGGACACATATACGAAGACATTAAAGGTACAAGTTATCCCACTTTAATTTTGTCAATTTCCTTGCTACGTGACTTTGTGTTTGCTTAACATTCGAAAAGAAAATAAGTAGTAGAAAAGAAGGATGACTAGTACTTCACAGATCTCTATGTTTCTTATTGTAGAAGTTATATATATATATTGTGACATGAATTACAACATATTAAATGCATGATTGTATAAAGCTCTTGTAGATTGTATTTAGGATTCCGATATAATCCAAAAGATCTTATTGCTTTAGGTTTGTATTACTTGCAAGGCTGTTTACCCTAAAAACTACCAAGTCTACGTGGCACGTAGGCCGAGTAATTAATAAGCTAGCTACGTCCTTCGGTTATGTATGGGGCGTGCCAACTCGACGGCCGAGCTCGGTCGATGAGTAAAATATGTGGATGTGGCGTTGAGCTCGTTCCTGACTTCTTGATCCTACGACTGCAGCCAAGGAAGGAACACGTCTCAGCCTTCGGGTTCTAGAGCCTGAAGACAAGGCTGCCAGTCTTGCGAAGTTCACGGATTGTCGGCGCCAGGTTCGGTCACGGTGATTATATTCGTAAGAGTATAAGTACATCGAACTGGCACTAAACTATATGGACACAAGTACTCAAAAGAGATGTATGTCTTGATGGTGAATGTGGTTCGACCGTCAGAATGCCAAACTCTAAAACTTACTTGTGAATATCTAATCATAAAACAACTCAGCGTTCAATGCACCGAGCCCAATAATCTGCAACACCTCACTTCGCCAAGAAGGTTGATAAGATGATTTCTACCAACAAGGACTCGAAAATCCTTGTCGAATGAGACTTGGATAGGTAACTAGTTGGCCGAAAAATAGTGTTATTTATCCAAACTGAAGGTGCTCCTTGATCGGCTGATTTTACGGCTCCAGTGCTGTTTATCCAAACTGAAGATGTGTTGGCGGGCAGGAAAAAGAAAATAAAAGTCTCATGGTTGTTGAAAGGTTTTGGATAGAGCGAGAGTTTGCGCAGGGCAGTTTTGTATGTTGATTTGGAAAGCCTCGAATGATGCACTCCCATATATATATATAATATAGTAGCGAACCTACTCCTGGCCGAACCAGAGATGTATCCGGACTAAAACTCCCAAATCTAATCTGATTAGGATTCGGCCAATCCTAGTTTCAATAGGTCTTTGAACTAAGCTCTATAATGAATCAGATTCATTCTCGAATTCTCAATGCCTTGAACTTTGAAACCCCATTGTTGTACCAGGACTTGACTTCTTCGCTCTAATCCAAATCAATCATCCTTGCGATAAGACTTGGGCGACCTGATTAGGCTTCTTATGACAACTGGAGGGCCCATAGTATTTCTGAAAGAGTGTTGAACCGAACACAAACCTAAGCTCAGCCTACCAATATAATTTTGGGCCTAAACATTACCCCCTCGCTTCTGAGGTCTTCGGCCTAGAACGCCTTAGCCGAGTTTCGACCTTGAAGAAGTGAAATCAAACCCTTAAGGTACCTTTGAAAGACAACGAAAAGTCTCGAATATTCCATCCACGAGGCACATTTATGAAACATGATTGTACGATCTCAGTTTTGTCAGACACCCTGCCATGTGGCATCTTCTTAGTATGTTTGTTCTTTCTTAATACTGAAGTGTCCCCTCAAAACCAAACTCTCTACCACACGCTATCATTATAACCTTGATGAGTGAATTTTTATCTTTTTGAGACGTGCGGATACCTAAACGTCTTTTCACAATTAAGCTCGCCGTCACATGCCATCGTGTAGTCTCGATCTGCAAGTTTTTCGATCCCTTCACCTAGATTCTTTGAACATTCATCATAATTACTAAATCCCTCGGTTGATTTCATCCCTCATTTTAAACATTAAACCGATGATCTTCCCAAAACGCCAATAAATACTCACCTCTTTTCATTCAACCCTTTTACGCTTTCAGAACCCTCAAATCCCTTTGCCATTTTCTCTCGCATCTCTTTGCCATTCTCTTTCGAAACCCAGAAAACTAGCCTTAAATTCCTAGAAAACCTTCATCTTCTCTAATGGCTGTTAACGTTTTCATTACCAAGTTAGTCGAGAAGTGTAGCAAATGTCAAAACATTGCCGACCGAAACACAATCAAAACCATCCGGATTTGAGGATGAG